CTGTTCTGTTCCCTGCTCTGTCTCTGGTGAATCCTCTCACCCCCCACACCTCTGGCCTGCACCCCAGCTCTTGTATGCATAAATAAATAAATCTCTAAAAAAAAAAAAAGTACATGTAATTGAAAAATATTTAATAAATATATCTAAAAAATTAAAACCTGGACTACGCTTAATACACTGTTGTGTTTCCTCTGCAGAATTTCATATTTTTCATTCATTTTTAAAATTGAAACAATTTTAAAAACAATTTTAGCCCTGGGTGTGGGTGGCTCTGAGGAAGTAGTGATCAAGGCAAAAGGAGGCCTCCGGAAACAGCAAATGTGGCCATTCCCAGGTCATTGCTTCTCAGGATTCCTAAGGCAGTGTGGCTACCAATAATGCCTGTAAGGGGTATATTTCTACCCCCAAAATCCTAATCACTGGGGGACTCTATGAAGCTCCGAAGCTGTTCTTCCCTTATCGACCACTAGATGTCACAAGAATTATGTTTCAAAAGCAACAAAGCTTCCAAGATGCTGACTTAAAGAAAAAAAATCCCCCTACTGCTTAGATTTTTCAGTTAAAAAAAAATGTTTTTCACAAGAGCAAAAATTGCACATGTTCAGAATTTATCTCTTCAGTAGCTGCATAACAGTTACAATTCCTCAGGCTACCTGCAAATAAGATGGGTTCTACAGGATCACGACAAATAGATTTTTGTTGAATTATCCACACTAAATATATATTGAACAGGATATTCCATTGCATTCACACTATTTATTTAATAAAAGTAATCTCTGAGATTATTTGCATTTATTTCTGAAGGAGGATGTTTTTCCTTCCTCAGAATAAGTTCAGGAAATGGGTGAAGTGTTCAGGAAGTTAGCTAAATGCTGATGTAAATCCAAAAGGAAGGTCTGTTGTTAAAAAAAAAAAAAAAGAAAAGTTAGGAAGTGCTTCTCTCTCTCTCTTTCACTTATGGAAAATGTTATACAGAATTTCTGCTTTAAAAGGAAGAGACCAGGAAAAATGTGTGTGACTGTGATATCTTTTTCTCTGGACGTGGTTAGGCTATGTAGACTTTTACTGATAACAGTTGCTGGCAAAGAAAACTGGTCAAGAAACAAAACATAGATGGGAGATGTCACTGGGAGTAAGTTTGTGATAAATTAAGCCCTGACAATGGACGTTGTATTAGCTGTTCTAGGAAGCATGTCTTGATCGGAACTTCTGAGTCCCCAGAGTGGAAGTGGGGGAGGGCCCAGCACTAAATACTCGGTAAACACTGCGCTGTCCTCACAGGGACCTGTCCCTCCCAGCCACTAACAAATGGTGTCAGGCTGACCTGGGACTGTGAAGGCGTCTAATCAGGGAAACCCAAGCTCTTCGGGGGACCTGGTCAATGCTGCAATCTGCTCTGGCCCTTCCGCGCCAAGGTGGTTATTTATCTGTAGCTGGCAGTGGAGAGAGTGTGCTGTATCAGGTGTACAAACAAACAGAAAAGCTCCTTGCCTCAGAAAGTTTAGAAAGCAAAGATTCGGCTCACTGAACAGTGCTGCAGAAGACACAGTGCTGTGGTTTCTGTGAAAACCGCGTCCTCCCTTGTAGCTCTCTTCCAAGCACCTTCATTTGGGCCTGCATAGTTTCCCGTCCAAACTGGTCAGCCTGCCTCCAGCTTGCCTTTTCTCTGGAGGCCTGTCCACACAGCCAGGCAAGCTTTGTAAAAAACACAGTGTGGATGTCAGTGAGCCTTCTTTGCTCTCAGATTTTGCCTGCTGCCCAGCACTGAGTGCAGGACAAAGTCCAGTCTCCGAGGCCCTTCCTGACTTGGCCATGCCCCATTCCCTCCCATCCCAAGAATCTCAGGCTCTGGTTACACTGAACCCACTTGCTGCCCCACACCTCCCACAAGCAGCTAAGACAAATTTATGCCCACATTTATCCCTTCCACTCTGGGTAGAAGAGGAAACGAGGGTGGGCCACACCCCTCTTTTAACTCATGTAAGCAGTTGCTGTGTGTTTATAGACTATGATATGAGAGAAGCAGGAGGATGGGGCCCGGAGGAGAGAGGCACACACACACCACCACCTCTTTAGGTACAAACTTATAAATCAGCACGTAGGCTGAAAAGGTTTCAGACGAAGCCGTCAGCTGATCCAATGATTAAATACTTCCAATGACAAAGCATGAGTAAGTTTTCATTTTTTGACATATTGAATTCAGAGGGTGGTTTTGAGAAGCAAACGTGGTTTCTAGGATATCCCCCCCCTTTCTTTGCCCCTGTACCCCTCCCTTTCTGACACACTTACCTGGTGCAGGCCCTGTGCCCACAGTTCGGGGATGGCTTTCCCACTGTGCTCAGCTCTCGGGAGCTGTTGGGCCACGCTACACCGAGACCCTGGAAATTTAGGGAGAAATTACATAGTAAACGTGATGGGACCAGAAGCACTGATCTTTTGGAAGCAGGATAGAGGGGACAATTGGTTTGCTGCCATAAACTTCTAGAGAGAAAGGTCGTGTCTTATTTATTTGGTGTCCCTGACAGGCCTCTCCAGGGACAGTGGCTGGCGCATGATGGACCCTCATTCAGCTATTCAACAAATATTTACCAAGCAGCGGAGTATTTGTTTTACCAGGTTTAGAGTTTTAAGTTTGGTAATAGCAGCCGAATTCTTTCTCCATTTGTCATCTGCACTTTTGGACTCTCAGACCTTGTCTTTCATGGAGATTTACAATCAATCACGCCCTCGTCCCCTTCCCAGCCCATCCCAGTAGTCTGCAGACAGAAGACTTGGGCAAATATTTGTTGGGAAGGAGGAGGAAGAGGAGAATAGAGACAATTTAAAGATAAGCAGTGCGATGGACAGGTGACTGATCTCATGCCTATCTTTGAGGCTGAAGAATGCTCTCTGGAGCTATTGTCTAAGAAACTTTCCAGAAATCTCTACCTCTGTGAGCGTTCTGGTCTCCTTTTGGGTGCTTTCCTTCTCGTGGCCATATTTGTCACCAAATTCCCTCAGTTTCCCCGCCTACCAAGGTGAAAACTCTCTCCCTTCTTAACTTCACTCCCGTCCTTCAATAGCTGTTTCTGAAATTTGGACCTTGTGTCAGGCCTGAGGCAAGGGCACAAAGGTAGGCACCAGGGGTGCTCGGAACCCTCCTCAGAGAGCTGGTCTGTGGGGAGACTTTTACAAAGAGCAGCATGAAGGCCCCCAAGTTAGGCTGGAGGCACAGAAGCATAAACTTGCCCATGATGAGCAGAAAAGGAAGGCAGGCCGGGCCACATAGGAGGGTCAGGGAAGTTCCCCAGGAAAGCTGACAGAAGATCTAAGTCTTCAAGGAAAACAGACATCACCTAGTTGTAGAAAGAGGGAGGGAGCATTCCAGGCAAAGGAAAACACAGATGGAGGGGCAAGGGAGTTAGAGGAAAGCATGGAAGGAACCAGGACGGATTTTTCTGTGTGGCTTATCAATTCCATCTCTTCGGTTTATACTCTACCTATTACTTCATATCAAGAAAAATGATGCAACCCTCAGACATTTTGGAGAATTCAGACAATCATTTCATCTCTCAAAGAGCAAGGCATTGATCATGTGGGCTGTTCAGGAGGTTAAGCACGTTCATGGGCTCATGGGTGTAAACAGGATAGGGTGCTTATAGGAAACCACATGGGAGACCGATGAAAATCAAGCAATTGTTATGATATGTTTTTTTTTTTTTAATTTTCTCCTTGGGAGTTTCAAAGTTGGAATTCTTTGCCATCGGAGAAGATGAGCCGAAGCGTTCTCTTAGCCTGAGGATGACACTAAAGGAAGGCCAGGGTGAGTCTAAGAATTTCACATGGGGCCAGGGCCACTTAAAATGCTCTTTGGGCTACACCATTGTGGGTCCAATATTTTCCAACATTTAGGGAAATACTCCCAGTCCTACTGCCCAGCTGCATGGTGAAGGAAACTGAGGGGAGTGCATGCCCCTCTCTGAGTGTGGTTTATTTCTGTACACAGAACCTCTGAAGACAGGGGGCCAAGGCTGACCTCTTTAGTCAAGAGTCAGCTCAACTTTAAAATTATGATTGCATGTGAAAGCTAAAATGGGAAAGAGGAAAAATCAGTTCTCAGGACAGAAATGCTAAAAACCCTTGGGCCACATTCCATCAAGGTCCTGGCCCTGCACACAGAGTTCCCATTGGGGGGTGGGTGGATGGGATGCAGCCAAGACCAGTTCAAATCAGTTGAGTGTCAGGGATGTGGGGTTTATTCCAGAGGTGTCCAACTTACAGATAAAGAAATTTACTAGAGTGGTTAAACACTCTGGTAAACAACAGAAGCTCATAGCCATACTCACAATTGTGATACCTACCAAAACATTCACCAGGTTCCAATGAACTACTTGCAGTAGTTAAAGAAATCAGATGAACAGAGCAAATATTCATTTTCTAGGGCTGTATAACAAATTATCACAAAATATCATTTGAGTGCTTACCTAATAGATCTTGGGTGGTGACCTGATAAATCACTAAACAGAAGGTTGTCTTTCAACAATTTATTCTCACACAGTTCTGGAGGCGAGAAGCTTGAAATCAAGGAGTCAGCAAGATGGGTTCCTATGGGAAGCTGTAAGGGAAGATCTTCTGTGTCTCTCAAAACATCAGGTGGTTGCTAACAATCCTTAGTAGTACCTGGTTGGCCTACAAATACAATACTATAAGATCTGCTTCTGCCTTCACTAGGTATTCTTCATAAGATACATGTAAATACCCTTCTGTTTACAAAAATACCAGTCATTGGATTAAGGCCCAACCTACTCTGGTATGAGCTCTTTAACTTGACTCTTTCCAAATCAGTTCATATGGGCTTAGAGGGTGAGGACTTCAACATGTCTTTTTGGTGGACAAGATTCAACCCACAACTAAGAGGAAAACAAAATTAAACCCCTGGGGCAAGCATTAGAAGACCTGGCTGTCTAACCTACACCACCTCAACAAGTTACCCTGGACAAGTCCCTTGATGTCTTTAGGTTTCTTAGTTCTGTCTAAAGCAAACCTGTAACTGTCCTGCTTACTTCAGAGAGGCCTCGGGAAGAAAATGAATTCATGTAAATAAAGGTGTTTTCTCTACAGAAGACACATCTGCAAGTGCAAGAGATTATTATGAATTCATTACAGATTGCATTGACTTTTCCTTAACTCCCTAACTACTTAATGAGTAGGTAATGAAATGAGAAACACAGCCTGTCTTACAAGGAAGAGAATTTAATTACATGCCTCCCTTCGTTTATGGTTGGAGATAAAAGTACAATAGCAATCTGCAGCAAAGGAGAACAGTATGGCAGATCTTGTTCCGTTGGCTTTTTACTCACACCAAAACACAGCAGTCTGCAGGTGAAAATAATGGGTGGAAAGCAACTCAAAGACAAATGAGCAGGCTAACGTTTTTGGCGAGGACTTCAGGACAAGTGTCCAGTGGCAGGGGCTCTGCCCCCTTCCCTCTGCCTTTGTGTTCGAGAACATTACTTGCTCCCCTGACGATGTCAATAATGGGTTTGACTTTTCTTTGATGACATTTCTGGATATAGAGACATAGCCAACTAGAACATTAGCTAGAGACATCATTTTCCTGGCTGATGTGACATCTCCCCGTGTCTATCACACAAAACAGAATCACTGTGCAGCCAGGAAAAGGAGAAATGAAAATCTAAAGTTAAAAAGAAAAAAAGGCCAAGCACCCTCTGCCCTTTCTAAGAGGCCTGAAGCTCCAGTGGTGACAGGTGAACTTCTCAGGCCACCACTGGGATTTGGAAGATCTATAAAAATGGCCACACTATTGGAAACGCCAAAAAGAGGTTTCATGGGGTAACAACTTGGCAACTGTAGCTACAGATTCACTTGAATGTTACTGATGACCAGTGATAAATCTTGTTGCCCCTGGACCTCAGAGGCTTGCTGACCCAGGAGAAGTCCCAAAAGGGAAAAATAGCACCAGCAGAAAGGAAAGAAAGAGGATCTCAGAAAGCAGTTTTCGGCCTACCCAGCAAACCACTCTATTTCTCACTGCTGCCTCTGTCTGCTTTCCGGGGGCTATCCTACAGATGCTGTAAAATGTCAAATCACACACCAGTTAATAAACAAAACTTTATTTTCCTTTGATACAAAAATTAAATAGCAAAGTTTATGTTTTTATACAGTGATAAATTAGAAATTTACAGTACAGACATCAATGCAGACATACTTTTGTACATCCTTACAAGCAAGGTCCATTTCCTTTGAAGTTCAGCAATTTACTTAGGGCATGTGTAGCAGAAGTTTGCCTGGTACCTCTAAGTGGAACATCTGAAAGTCCCTCAGGTTAAACTCCAGGTGGCTGGTGCTGTGGGGCAAGAAAAAGCCACTGCACACCAGAGCGGCAGCCACGCCAGGAGGCTGTGCCGCGGTTATCTTGTCCCCTATCATCATAGCTAGTAGCCCACCTTTCTTTCAAAGAACTCTAGGGGCCTTTAACTTCAGACCCTCTAAAGTCTCACAACACCCCTGGGAGGTAGGAAAAATTTCAGAGCTACCTACAGGCGCTGGGAGAGACCTAGACAGCAGCCTCCTCTTCCAAAATCCACAACCAAGCGTGGCCAAGCCCACAAGCAGGATGTGGAAAGGGTCCAAGCTAGGAGAGAGGCGGGACCCAGCCTTCGGGGCAGAGCTGCTTTGGCCCATCTCAGAAGCCTCCTGGGATACCAGCGGTCAGGTACTGAATGTCATCCGAGACCAGGGAGATACACAGCTTGGAGAATGTGCCTCACATAGGACCCAAAAAGCCTTGGTAAATAATGGGAATTTGCTGGTGCTGAGGAGGAGGAGGAAAGTAGGGTAAGTCAGAACCAGAAACAGGCTATTATGGGCACTTGAATTCCCAAGGGGAAGAGGCCTCTAGGGGGTCCGGGTTCCTGTCCCTCCTGGTACTCCAATGTGCAATGACGGCAAATGTGCATGGCGCACCCCTTACGGAGCAGCAGAGAGCACAGGTCAGGTTAGCATGAAAGAAAATTCATTATTCAGGGCTCTGGCATCTGATCCCTGGTAGGAGCAAAATGCTCTCCTAGTTTTCCAATATCTGCAAGCTGAGCCCAAAGGGAAAATGATAACCAGGGTCGCTTGCCAGATACCATGCAATGCAGACGGGGACACTGAACTCAACACAGTGAAGGACCCAGAAGAACTGTCAGCCCAGTGGTGTGACACAACTGGCTGGGAAAGCAACTCTCGCCAATCTCCCGCATAATACAAGTAAATTCAGAATGTAAGTCAATCCTGGAGGCTGCTTCCAAAGTGAGAGGCTCTCTTCCTAACTGCCGCTGTGGCCTGCTTACCAGAAGCCAAAGATTGCACTTCCCTAGTGAACTCCCCTTCAACTCAGCCTGCCCCTCCAGAGCTTACTTCCTTTGTATTCTCAGGCCCCCAGCCTGGTTCCCCAAACAATGAGCACTGGATTCAGTGACCAACAGGCTAAGTGGGGCCATGAGGCCAGGACCACAGGTGCTGGAGAGTCACAACTCAGAACCTAGATACAGAAATGTCCTGGTCTTTGGGGTGAGGCCTGCAAGTGCAGGGGCATCCAGGGAGAGGACAGTCAGAGAGCTCCTGGGGGAATAAAACGTGAGTCTCCTTCTCTGGTGTCAGGACCCTGAGTAAGCGGCCAACTCAAAAGCAGCCTCAGAGACCAGAAAACTGTCTACACAGAAGAAAATAGATATGAATCAACCAAGTAGCTCAACCAGATGGTTCTGGCCGGTTCCACCTTAGCCCACGCTCCTGCCAAGGCCTGGTCTTTGCGAAGGAGGAGGGAATCTGCCAGAGAGGAGCCTGGACAAGATATGCCCTCAGGCCCCACTGAATAAAAACTCAGGCAGCCAAGGGACTTTTGTATGAAGGTACAATCATACCTGCTTCTTAGAGATTGCTGAGAAAGAAAACCTTAGCCTTTTCCTGAGCAAGATTCTGTCTTTAAATTTACCTGCCATGTCACACCAAACACCCCAAGCCTGAACTGTACCAAGCCGTATTAGATGTGGGGGGCTCATGACCTTACAGGCAGTTTTCATAGTCTCCCAAGGGATTTGCCACAGAAAAGATGATGGAGAGTGGGTGCTTTCTGTCAAAACCCCTGTCACAGACTTGGAGGGAATCCTGGGAAGGGATGAGAGAAGCATCGAAGGTATAGAGAGACCCAGAAGAGGCTATGGCATGCGCACAGTGAAAAGACGGGAATTCGGAGGTTCCTGCACCAACAGCAAAGTCAGCACACCCAAGAGCCCCCAGTCTGGGCCAGTCAGGAGAACTGAAACCCCCTCAAGCACCTCACCAGGACTTTTCACACCATTGGCATTCAACAAAAGATAATTGATAACTGACTTTTTTAAAAACAAATGCCAACTTAAGAGGTGATGCTTCAAGGTCATTGGTAACTGTCAGACACAAAGCTCCTTCCTGAACCTGTCAACCATCTCCATTGTCTAGAATATGAAGGGAAAGGCCTAAAACCTGGTGACATTGCTAAAGCTACCAATCCAGTCTGCACCAATAGCCAATTCTGTTCAAATATTCTTTTCCCTGAGAAGGGAAGGAACTTGTGGAAGAGACAGGTCAAAACCAAGGAGGCTGTCAAGTCACAGGCTCTAGAACTTGGGCATCCAGGTGCACACAAGTATTCTTGGTACTATTATTATTATTTCTTCATTCACAAACACTAAGCACTTCATCTGGGCCTGGCCCTGTGCGAGGTGCTGCTTTGGCTGCACAATGGCTAAAACAAGACAAAGAAATGGCCTAACTATTCCTACACTCCAACAGTAAGGCCAGCGCCCCTGCTCAGTCCTTCTTCCCTTTCTGGAGTCAGCATTTCTTTTTAAGTCCTAAGATACCAGGGCGGAGCATGAGTAAGGGCAGGCCCTGCCCCTAGTCAGCTGTGGGAATCGTCCACGACAGCACAAGTTCATATTTTACATTTCATAGGCAAGGTAGAGCTAGATGGAGTTCAACTGGTCCTTCTGGGGCTCATTTCTCATGCTCCTGGAGCCTGACCCAGAGTCTGGCCAAGGTCCTCAGGCTCAGCACACACAGCAGGGGTCACTTAGCATCTCTCTCAAAAGCCCCAAAGAGTTTCCCTTCTGAAACGTGCAACAAATCTCCTGCATCTTCATCTCAGAACCACTCAAAGACAGAGGAAAGAAAGTGTCAAACCATTACCATATAGTGCAAACCAAATTGACAGAGAGACTTATTTCTAAAACTTGACCGCCTATTTGGTATTTTGAGCCCCTGGAAATGTCTGTCTTCCACGAAGAAGTGTGATAAAAGAACTTCCCTATGTGTTTTTAAAGGGGGAGAGGGAGTGGCATGAATAAATAAATAGATGAGCTGTTCCAAAGCAGTTGCTGAAGCCAAAGCAGGTATGAGTTACAAGGGAGAGGAATCTGTGACATGGCCACCAATCTGTCCTAGCGATCTGGTGACAAGAAGGCCTAAAGCAGGTTAGGAGAAAGGCCAGTTGTGATTGTAGAGAAACTGCAACTTTTGAGAGAATGCTAAGGGGGTACCCCCTTGAGAGCAACGTAGAGTATAAATTTTTAAAGCTTTGGATACCTCTGCAAAAGGCAATTAAGACCTGCGCTGTTAGAGTTTGCAGTTCATTTCATATGGTCTACACTTTATTCCCTCCTACCCAATCAAGCTCCTGGCTGGCATTCTGGCGATTCATTAAGCACCATATAAATACACCAGGCCACACTGCCTCCAGTGAAATCTTATATAAGGACGGTTTGCCAATTACTAGGAAACAATTATGCACCAAGTAGCTGGATTAGCTGTCCTTAGTTCCCTCCACAAACTGAAAAAGCCTCCATTGTGGTAAGTAAACCAGACCCTTGATAACATTCTTATGCTAAAGTAAAAAAAGGCACTATCATTCCAAGAATGCAAGTTGACCATAGTTTTAAAGTCAGTTGAGTGCACTATGTCATGGTCCAAGAATGTGCTTTTAATTGTAATTGACACACACAAATTACACAGCTAATCTGTGTGAATGCAAAGTTGCCAACAAATTTAACATTTTAGTCTTCCAGACTGGCGTCTGCATAGATGCAATCACACAAAGTAAAATATATTAAGTCCTCATTGCTCAATGCAATAGGTCTCTGGGGTCAGGAAGGTAAGTCTACTTGGTAAATCTCATTTTCCTCTGAATTAAGTGATTGTCAGGAAGCGAAATCACCCTTTCTTCCCCCTCATTAGACATGCTGCAGCGCAAAGATCTCTATAAAAATACTTATTTTGAGTCATGAATGTACAATGAAGAAAACAGCAGCTGCCTAGAACAGAGATGCTGAAATTTAAGAGGAAGAGAGAAGAAAATCCTCTGGACACCTTATGTGTGTCTGTACAGTTCTTTCTTTTGTTTGTTCAAACAATTGTTTTATGACAAAGGCACTGAAAGATCTGACACCACCTCTTGGGAGAGCAATCCACAAAGTTCTAAACGGCAGACAGTACACCGCAGAAAATGTTTATGTTAGATTGGCCAAACTATAAAAGTCTTATAACACTTCTCTGAACCCAGCGCATTTCCAGTGTTTATAGATCACTTTGCTATCTGAAAGACCCAGTTAGAATTTAAAATGTTTAAAGGGTTAAAAAAGTTCATCTTTCTCCCTGCAAACCGACAGCTCACAGCTCCAAACCCACCCTGCAGGGAAAAGCAGAGTCGCCCCAGCTTCCTGGAATCTAGGCAGGGCCCGACAATCCAAGCTGCGACCTGCTAAAGTGATCAACATTTTGATTTTTCACAGCTTTGAAAGCCTCTAACTGGCTTTTCCATTTTGGATCATTCCAAAGTCTGCAGTAAAATCATTAGTTTTACGACGCTGGGCTGAGAGAGGGGTGTGGGGGGAGAGTGGCAGTAGGTTATGAGGGACCCCTAGGTGTTGCTGGTTTGTTCAAACTGAGAGTCACTGCGTGAAACTTTAGTAGCATTTGCACTGAAATGCTGGCACTGCCCCCATGGAAGCGAGGTGCGTGTGGAGGCCGCCTGGCCTTACACCACAGTTTCATTGCCTTTCCCAGGCTTCACCCACCCATTGCCTCTCTTTTCTCTCTTTACCCTCCCAGAATTCACCAATCTGTTGGAGCACTTCTGCCACGTATGCAGAGTTTTGGCAGACCAAATCCACATGCCTGATGTGATGCCCACCAGCAAAGACATGAAAATTTTCAACATCTCAACCGCTAAATTGGAGTCATCTGCAGAAAACCGGAAGAGCGCCCAGTTGGAGATTTCATAGAAATAGCAAGCAATCACACAGGTGGCAGGAACGGTGTATAGGACTGAGAAGACCCCAATTTTGACCATCAGCCTCTCCAACTTGTCTGTCTTTGTCCCGTCCTTTTGCAGATTGGACCGAATTTTGAATAAGGCCACCAAACCCGCAGCGATGAACAAAGTTCCAATCACCAGGTAAGTGAAGAGAGGCGCCACCACGAAGCCTGTGAGGGCATCGAGGTTTTGGTTCCCCACATAGCACAAGCCCGTCAGCTCATCTGCGTCCACCAGTCTCATGATCAGGATGACAATGGTCTTCACGGCAGGGATGGCCCAGGCTGCAATGTGGAAATAAGAGCTGTGCATTTCGATGGCTTCATGACCCCATTTGAGTCCCGCTGCCAAAAGCCAAGTGAGTGTCAGAATAACCCACCAGATGGAGCTAGCCATTCCAAAAAAGTACATCAGCAAGAAAATTATTGCACATCCTGTGTTCTTAAGTCCTTCTTGGATGAGAACAGGTTCTGCTGCCTCTTCAAAATCACAGGATATCCGTTCCCGGCCTACGGTCAGCCTGACAATATAAGCAATGCTATAAATATTATAGCACATACTGAGGAAAATGATGGGGCGCTCAGGGTAGGAAAACCTGGAGGAGTCGATGAGGAAGGTAAGCACGGTGAAGGCAGTGGAGATGAAGCAGAGGCTGGCCCACACGGCCATCCAGATGTCCGTGAACTCCTTGGCCGAGCGGCTGTACAGGCCAGCGTCATACCCGCACTTGAGCACACAGTTCAGGCTCCGCTTCACCCAGATGTACTGGTCAGAATTGGCGCCCACAGAGTGGCACTCTTCCCCGGGCAGGACCGGGCTTTTGTGAGGGAGCGGCACCTCCTCATCACTCGGCCCTTCCATGCACATGTGATTGTGGTCATTCTGGGGTGGGAATTTGCTGCAGTTCAGGCTCTCCGGCCAGACAAACCCGAATTCCTTGAGCACCGGCTCACAGCGCCTCTTGACCGAAAGACACATGCCGCCGCACGGCCCGATGGGGATGTTGATCTTCTCCGTGCACATGGGCACATATACCGAGCAGAGGAAGAACTGTAACAACAATGAAATGGAGAAAACAGAGACTTGGAAGTTTGACCAAACGATCGAGCCCAGTTCAATGCTCCCAGGCACCAGCACGTCTCCTGTTACCCAGGCCTAGAGGGAATCACCTGACCTCAAGGGAGGGCACCTCATAGTTTCTCACTTACGCATTTTTCTTCTTTTGATTCTGGTGACCCTTTCCAGGAAAACACAGTACGTGAATAAAAAGAGCCCCAAAAATTCTATAACCCCCTTTCGAATAATACTTAAGGAAATTAACCTTAAAAAACTTTCCTTCTTCTCCCCTTTCAGCTACTATTTGAAGGCGGTGAGCAGCTTATCAAATGACTCAGTCATTTCAGTGATGTATTTTTATCTCCGTTTCTTTACCACCATGAAAATAAATATAAAAAAAAAAGATGCAGTCGTTTGCCTGCTATTCTCTCTCCTCGATTTTCTCCTGTTAACATTTCTTTTAATTTATCTCTTAGAATTATTATTTTTTTAACCAGCCCCATACTGAAACAGAAAATGTCCTCACTGAAACACGGCTAGACTCCAGGCTAGGCTGCAGGTCAAAGTCTCTGGTCACCAGGCTGGGTTTGGCCAGGTTCCTCAGTGAATAATAATGAAGCACAATAGGAAAATATAAATGTTAAGTCCCTGAAACTGCAGCAGCAGCAGGGGAGAGTCCAGTTGCTGTTCTCAATTCCTTCAGCATTGATAAACAGTCTGCTTGGCTCCTTACAGATGTTGTCTATGAAGTCTAGGGTTACAAGGAACTATTTTCCAGCATGTAAAGGGATCCAGTCCTGTCCTTCAAAACAGCTTGGCTGCTTCCCCAGGATACATGTAATTAAAAATATATATCCCTGCAAAGGCTGTTTCTCCAACATAATTGCCACTGATGTCAGGATATGTGCTGGTTCCAAACTGAGAGCTAGAGGATCATTTCTTAAGTTTTTATAACCTAGTTCTAAAGTTCTGAAACTTCCAAAGGGACATTTCATGAGCAACAGATCTAATCCCAACCATCTTTCTGAAACCACAATCCAACTTTTAAAATGACTTATGTAAAAACATGCACCTTGTAACTAGGCTGCCTGCCTGTTTCTTATCGCTCAGAAATTACAACCAGAACCGTGGATTTTGGAAGCTTTTAGTCTAGACAACTCTCTTTCCCCAATTTCACTCAATTCCAAATTTCTAAAAATCACTCATTGCCTCCCCAACTAAAACACAACCAGGGCTAACACTTGAAAAATATTTCCTCTCAGTTCATTTTCTTCCCCCCATGAATTGGTGGTTGTTTTTGTAAGATGATAATCACCCTGTAGACACGATTTTTTTCTTCTTTTCTATATCATTACATAAGCTTTAACATTTTTAATGGCTGGGAAAAAAATGCTCGAAATACACAAACGACCTTCCTGGAGCTTGGCCGGGCCATGCCCCTCCTCCGGGTGCCCCGCACCTCCAAGCAGTACCCTGCTCTGACCCAACCCCTTGCTCCTCCGACCTCCAGAACCCCGCGGGTCGACACGAAGAGGGGGCACTGCGCGGGGCACCCAGGCAGGAGTGTTTCAGGCAACACCCTACCGAAGGGGGGGGGAACGGCTGTAGGTGCAGAGATCCCCGGCTCCATCGTCCCCTTGCAGGTTAAAGTGCAGGGGCCACCCAGCCGGGTCCTCGGCCCAGGTACCCCGCAGCTCTGCTGGAGCTGGGGCTCGGCCAGCCCTGGATGGACAGTGGGCAGGGGAGAACATCGGCAGGGCGGGGTGCAGGGTGGGTTCCTCCGCGGGAGACGACTCACACCAGAAGCTGGTTACCAGTGCCCCAGAAGGCGCAGAGAAGTTGGGGGGGGGGGGCGCTCCAGGGTAGCTACACCCTTCAGACCAGAGGGGCAGGAGGCTCGGCCGGGCCAGGGCTGCTGGGAGTGGTGGGGCGCCTGCCCACGGGGTCCCTGGGGTGGGGGTGGGGGCGCCCACCTGCAGCTGGCTGGAGCAGCCGTATTGGATGAGCGGCGTGAAGGTGGTCAGCTGCAGCTCGGCGTCCGTCTGCAGCTCGTGCCCCACCAGGTTGGGCATCTTGGTCACGTTGTAGCCCAGGTTCTGGCACATGGCGATGCGGATGGGGTCGCAGCGCCGCTCCTCGTCGTCCCCGAAGCCCCGCGCCGGGCCGGGGAGCAGCAACACCAGCAGCAGCAGCAGCAGCAGCCACGGGCGGCGCCCGACGCCCCCGGGCGCCCCCGGACGCTCGGCCCCGCGCCCCGCCGGGCCATCGCCGGAGCGGGGGGCAGCGGCGGCTGCGCGGGCGGACACCCCCGAGCGCGAGCCCCGGGCAGCGGAGCGGGCGAGGCGCCGAGGGCGCGCGGGCAGCGGCGCGCGGCGGGGGGACTAGCCGGACGTGCCGGGGGGCGCCGGGGCGCGCGCGGAGGGGGCCATGGCTGGGGCGCTCACCGCTCGGCGCCGGCCGCGTCCGCTCGGCGTCTCGGCGCAGCCCGCCAGCCCCGCCGCGCACCCGCCGCCTGCGCAGCCGGGACCTCGGGCGGGCGGGGCGCGCGGGGCGCGGGGCGGGCGGGGCGGGCGGGGCGGCGGCTCCTCCAATGGCGCGCGGGGCGCGGGGCGGCCGCTGTCCCGCCGGAGGCTCAGGCCCAGCCCCCCGGCCCCCGCCCCCCGCCCCACGGCGGCTCCGGGCCAGGCGGGGATGGAGCCGACCGCGCGGCCCCCGGCACCGCCCCCCAGGTGAGGCGCGGCGGGGATCGGCGTCCTGGCCTCGGCCGCCCCCCTCGGGCGGGAGGCGCGCCCCGAGAGCGCGGGCCGGAGCCAGCGAAGACTCCGGACCCGCGCGTGACCTTGAGCCGGTCGCCGGCCGCGTCCTCCGCGCGCCCGCCGGGCCCGGGCCTCGGAGGGGGGGTGCGGGCGTGCCGGGCGCGGGCCTCGGAGAGGGGGTGCGGGAGTGCAGGGGCCGCGCGACCTGCGGCTGCTTTCACTTCCCCGCGCTCGGGGACCCCGGGGGGCGCTCGGCCCGACCTGCTCCTGCAGCTGCGGGCCCCGTGAGAGGAGGGGATCCCCGTGGGCGGAGGGGGTCCCCGTGAGAGGAGGGGATCCCCGTGGCAGGAGGGGGTCCCCGTGAGAGGAGGGGGTCCCCTGAGAGGAGGGGGTTCCTGTGAGAGGATGAGGCCCCCGTGGAAGGAGGGGGTCCCCGGGAGAGGAGGGGGTTCCCGTGAGAGAAAGGGTCCCCGTGAGAGGAGGGGGCTCCTGTGAGAGGATGAGGACCCTGTGGAAGGAGGGGGTCCCCGTGAGAGGAGGGGGTCCCTGTGAGAGGAGGGGATCCCCGTGGGAGGAGGGGGTTCCCGTGAGAGAAGGGGGTCCCCGTGAGAGGAGGGGGTCCCCGTGAGAGGAGGGGATCCCTGTGGGAAGAGGGGGTTCCCGTGAAAGGAGGGGGTCCCCGTGAGAGGAGGGGGCCCCCAGCAGGCGCCCCGCCGGCGGCCTCGCGCCCCCATGTCCCCGCCGTGTGGACTGGCGTTCCCCCGGGGTTCGGGAGGAAGCGAGGCCGGGACGCCCCGAGCTCCGCCCGCGCCCTTCCTGTCCGGGCCGCGGCTGCTGAGCGGGGCCAGGGCGAGGCGGGGGGCGGGGGCGCCGGGACCCGAGCGCCGGGCGCGGGCGGGGAGCCGAGGGCCTCTCCCTCCCCCAGCCTCGGGGCGTCCCTCCCCTGGTGCCCAGTCCCTCTCGCTCGCTCTTCTGGGGATCTGGGGTCACGCGCCCCTGTCCCCGCCGGGCTTTCTCTCCTCTCGCCTCCTCCGCGCAGCGCCGGGCCCGGGCGCAGGGGCAGGTGCGCACGTGAAATTCGTTTGACTGTGGCCGAGGGACTGCGCCCCTCTGCCCCTCACACTGGCCACCGGTGAAACACAGAAACGCGCGCCTTCCCGCTGGCAGCAGTGCTGAGAGTTAAGTGAGAAAATGCTGTGGAGCGCGTCGCGGTGTCGGGCACTTGCTTGTGGTGAAACAGCCACCCTCCTGTGGACCCGTCCGGGGCCCAGGACACCTCCCCACTGAAACCAAGTGTGCTGGTCTGGGTGAAGGACTGTCTGCCCCCTCTGATATCTTTTTGTCCGAAGCTTGCCTTTGTTTTCTGAGGGGCTTGCTTGTCCCCTCCCCACCAATTTAAATCCGTATTTGTATCTTCCCCTTTCAGCCAAGTTTGACATATGGCAAAGGCTTGATAAGCCTTGGAAGGACGCCTGTGGAACCCCTGTGGTGCTTACATTTTGCCTTGTATATTTCATTTTCTGTTCTCATATTGGCGGCTAAGACTTGGCTGAGGGCAAGAATGGAATCCAGTTTTTTGGTATTTGGCTCTGGGCCTAGAACTCTGTTGGCGCATAGAAGCTGCATTAGCTCCAGTCATCAGCATAACCTCCCGGGGAAGGAGGATCCCTCATCCTTTAAAGAGACGAAGAAACTGAGGCTAGAACTAAAGTGACAGAAAATGAAAGACCAACAAAATCGGTGTCAGAGGAGACCCTTCAAAGTTGAGGGTCAGGATATCTCTGCGGAAGGACTCCCAGCTGCAAAGCTTCATATTTAGCATATTGAGGTTGAATCTTTTTGTATGTCTGGGGTAAGTAGTGCATGAGACCACTGGCCTGCAGGAATGAATAAATGATCAAATGGCTCAAATCCTAGGAGCTCATAGGAAGAGACAAAGAAGAAACAGACACCTGTAACTCAGTGTAATAAGAACACAGAGAACCGAAGATAGAGGTAGCTCAAAGAGGGATGACCTGCAGGATTCTGAGCTGCTGGGTAAAACAGAGGTAGTTTGCAGGTGGCACTTGGGGTGCTGGGACATGACCTTCTTTGTGCTGAAGGTATGTGAACGTGGATTACTGAATAACGTGTTCCATGAGACCACGGCAAGGAGAAGTTATCCCTGGCACAGGGCTGGGTACACAAAACACCCTTAGGGTTGGGTGAAGGAGTACCTATAACATGCCTTATGCAGAACCCTTACTCTTGTCAGATACTGTTAACTGCATATGCTTCATATGCAGTAGCTTGTTTATCTCTCACAACATTTTGGAAATTCATGTTCTCAGAAGGTAGGTACTTTGTCCTAGATCACATGGTGACAGAGACAGACATTTCTGCTGACCCTAGAGTCTGCATGGCATTGCACTTGCCGAGGAAAGTCCTTAGCACTCCCACTGATCCAAAGCTAAAGATGACCCTTTTGTGATCCAGACTTCTTATTCCTGCTTCCAGCCTCCTTCCTTCGGCTTGCTCGGAACAACTGTCTCCTTGATAGCACTTGAAGGAGGCCCATCCAGCCAGATGCTTTTTCTGTCAGCAGCTTTTCTACCCCCCCCCCACCCCCCCAACCCCCCCCCCCCCCCCCCCCATAGAACTCATCACAGGTGTTGAACTCATCACAGGTATTTTCCAAAAAAGGGGTGGGGGGGATCACATTGCAGTGTGAATGTGGAAAGAAAACAAAGACCACAGCTTAGAGCTTGAATGGCTGGAGCCCCTTAGCCTCCCTCTCACGGAATGGTTCACACAGTTTCTAGTCTGCTCCGGGTGACAGGCATGGCATGTTTGTCTTTGTTGCAGAAAACACTTCCCAAAGAGAGGTGTTCCAAGCAGAGGGAACATCATCTATGACACAGGGTGATTCAGAGAGGAGTAGGAGGTAGGAACAAGTAAATGGGACCATCAGTTAACCTGAAGGTCAGGCCGTGGATCCCTAGTAACTCTGACCTGAATATCTGTGCAATTAGGTCCCTTCTCCACGTAGTAAAGATACAGCTATTTTGAAGCTACAGCAAACATGGCTGCTGTTGAGCTGTTGAGCAGTTGGAGTACTTTCCATTTACGTTTAATGAGCAGCTGGGTTCTAATGACATCCTGTGATGTGTTAATTTTTCAACCTGACATTTTCTGCACTAATAGATTCTTGTAATAGTTTCTAAATGAAAGGCTACATTTAAAGACTACCATTTGGGTTAAAATCCAACACCTAGAGAGTTAGGGGGCCCTAAACATCTTTGCCTTCTTAAGGAAAACCTCTCATTGGCAGTTCTTGGCTAAGCCAATTAAGTGCCCAAGTAGTCACCCCAGAGCCTGCTCTTTATTTCCTGAGAAACAGTCTAGCTCATCCATATTCAGTAGCTTCCAAGAAGAGTCTTAGTCCAACCTCTAATGAAGAAACCAGCTTCTTTGAATCTGGACAGAACATTTATAACTTACAAAGAACTGTCTTGATAGAAAATGCAACAAAGTACCTGATTGTTATCTTGTTTGGTTTTCCAGGGAAAAATTCCTGGGACTAACAACCCATAAGGACTGGGATATTTACTTCAGAAGCCAGGCCACTTCCCATGGGCTTATTAATGGTGTAGGTATTGCATCTTTCCTGACACCCAAGCTAGTTATAAAACACAATCTTATGTACTGGGCTGGGTGGAAAGGAATACTAATCTTATTCAAAGTTAAGGAATTAGGGCCTCCCTGGTTCCTCAAGGAGGAACCCATGAAGCTATCCGCAGCCCATGAAGCTATCCGCAGCCCATGAAGCTATCCGCAGTTCCATCCTCAGCCAGGGAGCTCCCCACATTGCACAGCAGACCTCTCCTGACACCCACTGCTCCCCTCAGCAGTGTATTTCAGTCAGTTTGTCTGTTATGTTCCCCACTCTATCTCTGGTGAGTCCTCTCACCCCCCGCACTTCTGGCCTGTACGCCAGTTCTTGTATGCATAAATAAATAAATCTTTAAAAAGAAAAAAAAAAGACCCCAAGAAGTTAAATAACAGCTATGAAGTGGCAGAACCAATTGCCTTTCTTATCCATTGTCAGCAAAGTCCAGTCTCCATCAAATTCTTGCATGTCAAGGAATGAAAGCCCTATTCTTCCTATCAAGCCTAAGGTGGTACATAGGTTATTCTTATTTGTTGGAAGTGATAGTTAAATGTACAGATGGGCAGCCAAGAACCTTTGCAGGAGTTGAAAGATAATGTGAGCACTTTGTGCCTCCACAACCTCAGTTTGTTTCAGTATTTATCTGTCAAGCATTGGCAAATGCTTAGTGTTCAGTTAGTATGAATGTGAGTCTGAGCTGAGTCCTGGGGGTTATCATTACATGTAGAAGCTGGTGCCTTCAGGGAACTTACAGACACACTGGAGGAGATTAAGACATGAGACCGAGAGCAAAGCCTGCTTGTGTATAATTAAGTGCATTCTCTAGCGCGCCCTTAGTTTTTGGTTTTCTGGTCTCCTTTA